TTGACACTTACTCTTCTTTTCTCGTTGCAACAGCTTTAACCGGAGAGGCCTTTAAGGACGTGCGATTGCATCTCTTTGAATGTTTCTCTCGCATGGGCATTCCTACCCATCTTAAAACTGATAATGCACCAGCATACACAAGTCAGGCTTTCAAACAGTTTTGTGCTACTTTCCACATTTACCATACTACAGGAATTCCATACAATCCTCAGGGTCAAGCCCATGTGGAGCATGCACACCAAACTCTTAAACTCTATTTCAACAAAATCAAAAAGGGGGAGATCCATACACCCTATAAAACTACCCCACGGGCTATTGTTGCCCATGCTTCTCATGTGATCAACTTTTTGCTCTCTCTCGATGATCCTCCCACCACCACTCAGGCAATGACTCATTTTGGGCCTCTGAAACACCCGGTGGAAATAAAAGTCATGTACAGAGACCCACATACTGGACAATGGCTGGGCCCAGCGGTGGTATTGGTGCAAGGTAGAGGATACACTTTAGTTCATGATTCTGTGACTCAACATTCTCTGTGGGTTCCCAGCAGGAACTTATGTTTCTTGACAGATGGACCCCTCCCTTGAGGAGGGGCCAGCACAACTGCCATTCCTGGCTCCTCGGTCAGCAGATCCTGACGTTCTTCTCCAACCTATGGCACGGCTCTCTGTGGGTCCTCCCCATCGAAGAAGGAGGCCCTCATTCTACCGTACGCGGCCTACCAGGAATTCAGGACCCCCGTCTCCTCCTACATGGCGCACTCTTCATCAGTTGGTGAGGGATGCCCATCAGGTGGCGGGACGAGCCGGACGAGACTCACGTGATCCTGTTATTCTATTTCTTGCCATGTTGGCTTTGGTCGATGTGGCTTTCAGCTTCAGAGTAAGTACAAACTTCACCTATTGGGCTTATGTGCCTGAAGCCCCTCTTCTAACTGCCGCTCAATGGGATCAAGATAAAATTATTGTAGGTACTAATAGTACTGAGTATCTTGGAGGTTTACCCTCACCTAAAGAAAAATATTCTGTAAGGGTGGCCCCTACCTGGTCTATAGTCACCCTACCCCATCCTGTGTGTTGGCAGCTTAATCGTGTCCTCGATGTTGCCCCGTCCCCACGTTTATCCACCCTGACCCGTTGTCAGTGGATGGGAAATATGCGCCCCTTGGGAGTCTGTTTCTCAGCTTTGACCTCTGTGTTTGACCCAGACAGACCATATAAACCTGATCTACATGTAGCCGTCCCACAATATCATAAACCTGACTCGCTTAGATCATGCCCTTCAGGACTTAAGTCCAAACAGGGCATCTATGCACAGTTGACAGATA